ACACCTGTCTCTCAAACTGAGACACAGGTCATCAGAAAGTTGGGATATAATCACCAAGCCCTTGAGAACCAAACACCTTCTGTCCCATTGCTGCTGCCTTGCCCCCGCAGAACAATGCCACAAGTGTGGAAATAACAGTCCAGGCAGCTTTAGGCATGTAACTTTGACCTGTCACTTAAATTTCCTTTCTTGGGCTTCATTCTCTTACCCTGTGTCACTGTTCATTTAGATGGAAATGTGTAATTGCATCAATGTTGCAAGAATCAGCCCTGCCCAGGAGGCTTTAGGTAAAGTAAGAACTATGTAAAAAACATAGTAAAACAGTTCTTACACTTTTCATTTATGAGAATTATTTTTGATGCTTGGGGGGAGGATGGGGAATCGGAAGGATGGACGGGACGTGACACCCACCAAAAATTCTTCCTTAAGGGCACTGCTGCTGTAGTTATTACTAGTCTTGAGAACTGCATGTGGTGGTTACACATACCCATTACACTTGAGTGAGACTAGTCAAAGCAATGGATTTATACCACCTTTTCCTCTCCTGTCAAACTGTCCCCAAGGAAGTGATGCTACCATGTGAACTGCTGTGCTATTGAACAAGTCTGGACAGGTGACATGATCTCCCACTTGCTGGATATTTTGAAGGAAATCAATTGTCAAATAAAAGGCTCAAATGGACTTGGAAATTCAAGAAGCTAGCAAAACTCCTGTAGTTCAAGGGCAAATAAATTGTTCTGAGAAATGTTAATGCTAAAGAGGAATTAAGGCATTGCACAGCCTCATCCAGAAGCTCAGGGATTATTATAGTTTGGTCAGATGAAAAAAAAAAAGGTACAAAGACCTTTTTTCAGGTATTACCATGATTCTATAGCCTATTTTGTCATTTGGGTAACAGTGTAACATTCTTGATACATTTTAATAGATTAACAAGAACCTGTCTCATGCCTTCAAAGCTGGTCCTACTGCATGTATCCAGTTTGGGGTTTGTTTTTTTTTTTGTAGAAACCTTGTTTCTAGAGATCAAGAATGGTATAAGCATCTGGGGGTTGTTCTCTGTGAAGCCTATTGCATGAGACCTGCATAGAACCGTTTCAGTCTTTACCATGAATATTTGACTTACCAGTTATATTGGTTTAGGTTTCTGCATGCTGAAGAAAAAGCATTCAGCAATCTTGTTTAATGTTTTCATTAGCTACACTACTAATGAGAAGCTGCCATTTTTACATTAGCACCGTGAGCTATCACTGCTGAAAATGCTGCTGTACACAATTGCTCAAAGGCTTGAATTACCTGGAGCACCTCAGGCCTTCGCCAGATGAAAGCTTTAGGAATTCCAGTCAAATACAGGCTGAGAAAGGTCAAAGTGTGCGAGCAAGGGACTGGTTCATGCTTTGGTTCCTTGTATGCTCAGAATAAGCTGTTTCTTACATGCTTTGTAAATAACATGGCTTGCATTAATTTTAAAATATTGTTAATGCAGTTCCACTACTGAGGAGCAGATTTGTACTGGAAGTTCTAGATTGCATAAATTTGGTGCTTGAGGTTAGGAAGAAAAAACATTGCCAAAATGTCCAACAATGTTGTTACCAAGTTCTAACCTTTTCCTCTGGCAAGTCTCTTTCCTTGTATTGGTAACTCAATCCAGGATGAGCCAAGCAGTGGCTTATTTATCCAGGTGTAGTTCTGTGTAAATTAAAACATCTCTCCTTTTCCTCCCTGTAAATTAATACAGTGAAGTTGAACTTGTTATTAAACCTAAGAAATTCTGCTGCATAATTTAACATTATTAGCAATCGTAATTTGCTATGTAATTTAATAACATCCATCTATTGAGGAGTGAACTACATAAGCTACATATTATAAGATTATAAGAATGCAATATAAGAAAAAACCAGCATACCCAACCACTTAGAAGTCTCTGGAGATACTAAATATATATTATGGTACTAGAGGATATTAATCTTCCCCAGGAGTGAAGATTTTGTTTGTGTTTGTGTCTTTATACATATATGAAATGAGCACATACACACATTTATGTTTTCATAATGTTCAGAAATTTAATTATTCTTGCAAAATAAACATTGGCTAATTTTGTAGCAAGGGTTTTTTTTGTTTGCCTTTTTTTTTGTTGTTGTTGCTGTAAACATGTACAGTACTCCCATGGCTAAAACCACACACAATCACACAGCAGGTTATTCTTATGAAAGAGTCTGAGGAAAAAGGCCATATGCAAAGGAAAGCCCCAGAGCACTTATTTCTAAATATAATGTCCTATGCACCCTCAGGCTTAAACTGTAGTGCTTCATAGTAGCTTCATAGTGAACTCTGCTGGGCATAGTGAACTCTCCTGTGTCCTGTCAAGCTAGTGAATATGGAATGCACTGACATTTAAAAAGAAATAGTGAGAGACAAGCTCCACTTAAACATTAATAAATAAAATTAATGGCTATAATGTCACTTCAGTCCAGTTTCAGAAGTCTTCCCTAGAAATTTAGTTCAACTGCAGTAGCTACTGTTGTTTCTCCTTGTAGGTTCTGAGCTATACAAATGTAGTTTCCAGCATCTCTGGCTTCAAAATCCTCAACAAGAGGATTTTTCAACAAAAGAACTCTTTGAGATTCTTGTAGTATGTCCAGTTCCTCTGTTTATCAATCTCCAGAAGTTTTGGATAATCACAGGCCTCTCAGACTGTTTAAAAGAAAGAAACCAAACTAAAGTAACCCACCCACATAAAATACGTGATTCTACAAAATGTATTTAGTGACACTAACCCATCAAAGCCTGAAGCAAGCGGTTAGATAGTTGGAGCCTATATCCCAAAGTCAGCCCTAAGTGAGGAAAAGTGTCTGGCAGCTGCAGCAACATTCCTGAATTAAATATCGGTGTCACAGTAAATTATGCCACACAAGGATGATACAATGGCTACTCCACTCTAAGCACTGGTACTGTGTATCTTTAGATCAGTGAGGGGCTGCCAAAGCTCTGCCTGGAGCCTATGAGTGAACTCAGCTTTAGGCTACTTACTAGGGTTGCATTTGGGTACCTGATCAAATAGGTGAGATGTCAGGGTAGATGTGTGAACTCATTTTCAGACTTCCAGCATGTCTCAAAAAGAAGGCAGCAGTGGCATGAGTGAGTTGACCAAGCTTTAGTTCTCTCCTAGCACAGCAAAAGCTTTAAATCACGTTGAAAATTCTTTTCTACTCTTCTAGTTTTAGAAATACTATATTAGATAATAATAAACAACAACAATTCCCAGATACTTCTAAATTAATCGTCAGACTCTGCTTTCCAAAATGTGTATGTAACTTCAAAGCCAAAAATTACGAACAAGTATGTTCAGATAGAAAGATGCTTTTTTGGTTTTTTTCCTGTTATAACAGGCTATTTTTCATGTCTCCTATAAGACAAGTCTCTGATGGACTGTTTATGGGTCACACTCCCCAGTGCCTAAGGAGGTCACAAAGGACTCAATAAGAGAAACTGGCCCAAAGATAGACACTTGCCTGGAGCCAAAGCTACAATCTCACACTTGCAAAATGACCAATACAAAGGCACCTGCCAGACTTCTTGAAGCTTAGGGGTGAGTCACAGTGCAGCCAGGGAATGTGGCAGGCATTATGAGCTCTTGAAAAAAAATTCATGGTAGCTGTAAATCTTGTATAGAAATTCTGAACCCTTTCAAAGTAATCAAGCCACTTAGCAAACCTCTACCTAGCAGCACACTGTCTCCTGTTCCCAGCCTGAAAATCAAGTGCTACCTACATTCAAGTACTATTGCACACTTAATTCAAGCCTAAATTAGTTCTTATATATAGCAAGTAGAATTTCCTTGACCCTACTGCAAGTGAAGGTAAAGGCTGTGTAAGCTGGACGTTATTTGCCTGGTAGGGCTCCTGCTAGCCCAGTTTGTATCAAACTAACTGCCTCTGCTTTGAAGCCTGTTTCAGGGAATCAGATTAAGAAGTGGATCTGTATGCTTTCACAGCAGGTAAATAAGCAAATGCAATTGTCAGGGAGTGGTAAGGGGATTGGAAAAACTAGCAACAAAAAACAACCAACTGGAAAAAGAAGAAGGAGAGAGAAGTTAGTGACTACAGAAATGAAATGAGGGTCTCCCCAGTGCAGTGTACCTAGAAGCAAGCAGGAATTAAAGTGCTGCTTCTGCTCAGGGACTAAGCAGTAGGTGACAGGTCAGCTGCTGGGTGGGGTGGTGCTGGGGAACAAAACTGGCACTGAGCTCCCTGCAATGAAAGCAGCAGCATGAATGGAAACATCTAGTGAATCTCAGAACTGTATGAGTCCTCTTTCTTGCATAAAAGAAGGTAGATCTGACCAGCATCACTGATGGTCCTCTCTTCCCCCTCCACCTCCCCCTCTTTTCTCTGCAGTACCTAAATGCTTTCTCAATAAATGTTAAGTCTCCAACAAGCATACAGTACTTCTACTCTGACATTTATTTGATCATTTTGCTGGGGCAGAAACCCAAACACAACTTTTCCCTCCCTATTCCCAGGCACAGCTGGAGCTGAGGCTCTTTACTCCAGTGGATAAGCACATCAGCCCTTTCTGGGGTGGGTGCAGGCCACAGGCCAAAGCCTCTCTCTCACCCCCACCAGTGGGTGCAGTGAGATGGTGTAGTCCACTACTGACAGTGCATGTGTCTTGCACTGCAGCTGCAGTGTCCACAGCAAACAAGGGAGATAATTTCCATGTGTTTAGCTGTTTATATTCAACCAGTGCTAGAAAGGCATAAACATAATGCACATGCCAGTGTGCATCAGGTGCAGTAAGACCACTAGAAGCAGCTGGGCCAAGAACAGCCAGCGACCAGGCTTGGGCAGCCATTCAGCCGGGAAAGATGCAAAAGTAGCAAGGGGTGGGCACTAAGGAGATAGAGAGATTTGGAAGGCCAGGCTGAGTCTACAGTTTAATTCCTTCACATGTTCTTAGTAATTTCAGTTAGTTACAAAAGACATAAATATAGTGTTTGTATAGCCAGTTGCTACAGTCCAATAAACAAGGGAAGCTGAACCCAAAAAAACCCACAACACAAAAAAATGGAAAACCATATCACTCAACAAAGCTAATGTGATCAAGCAGGGGCATTTCTTCCCTTCCCCACCTAACAGTGAATCATTATAGACCGTCAGAGTTAAAGAACTACCTTGAAGAATAGAGACTCTGCCATTTGTTGATGCATCCCACAGAGTCATGCCAAGAGCTAGATTTAGAGGAAGACATTGGGCGTTTAAACAAAAAAATCCCTATTGTTCTGCAGCTCCCCAAACTCTGAGGCGCTTCTGTTTTCCCTAGGATCTTGCTTTTTACTTCACAGACAGCTGCAACTTTCTCTGCTCATTTCATCTGTCCCTTTCCTTCCTAAATTAAAATGGACACCAGAGACAGGAATTCTGCCAAACTCTTCCAGTGCTCTATCCTGTAGTTGCTCTTCAGATCACCTAATTCATGCTCTCAGTACCAAGCCCCTCACTGAATGCAACCGAGGCTGCCCTCATGTAACAGCCAGGACAGAACAGGGTGGAGAACTTGGTAACTGCTCATAAACTCTCAGACTTGGCAGGAAATGTAGGACAAGCATCACAGTGCTCACTTGCTCTCTCAGTTTTTCATCCTGAAGAGGCACACACCTTTCCAGGACAGCAGAGCTCTTTAGTCTCTACCTCAAAGGCTACAGCAAACTGCTGGGGCTTTAGATTTGAATTTCCTCAAGGACTGAACTCCAATCATTCAGTTAAGCAATTATCTCTGCCTCTACACTGTCTCAAGGAGACCAGTGCATTGTCCTTTGACAACCCAGCACCAGGAGGGCTGGAAAATGGCAACAATGCCAACTGTCTGGTCATAGAAGACCCCTTTCCTCTGGTGAAGGGTTCCATCTTCCAGCAGTCCTTCCTTTGCTACCAGCCAGATTAAGATAAGCAGCAGAAGGGATAAGGCTGATAAAGAAAAAAGCCTCTACCATAACTGGTCAGAGTGGTTGGAGGGAGGAGAGGAGATCATCAATGATGCTTGTCAGATACATCTCATTTTGTGTAAGAAAAAGGACCACAGATTCCCTTTGTGTTTCTAGTGGTTTCTTTCAGATTAGTCTGGGCAGAAGCAGATTTTGCTTCTGAATGTGGGTAACAATTAAGCTTAAAAAAATCTGTGCTGGGATGATTCATGTGCCCAAGCCATGGAGAAGGAAGGCATATGAAATGCAGAGGCATAACTAAGGCTTTGTGGCTTGGCTCCTGAAGCTGGCTGGCTTTGACCCTGTCTGATAATCTCTTTGGAAATGCCAAGTGACTCCAGAATGGAAGGGAGGAGTGAGTTTTGCCGAGCTTGATTTTTGCTAACTTGGGTAGAGGTCTCCGGCTTCATTCCTGTGCTCCTTCTAGATTCTCAGGAAAACCAGGCTGAAGTTCAAAAGTGATATGCTGTCTGCTGCCAGCATGCCTGAACTAGCAAGGGGCAGACACCACAATCTGAAAGAATTTTTACTCCAAATCTTGACATCAACTGGCTTTCAAAATGTTGCCTTTATGAACAACAAGCCATTTCAGGCAGGGCATACATCTTTTACCTTTTGCCCTGGGTACTGCCACCTGAAGTTCACATCTGCATCAGGCTCCCCAAGGACTGTGCAGATTACACGAACACTGTCACTGAGTTCAGCTCTTTTGGAAGATGCCACAATTGTGGCTGAGGGTGGGCCCTTGGGAACTGAGGGGAAGACAGTGTTTGGAAAGAGAAATTTAGCTTCTAAAGTTAAATGCACTGAAAAAAAATGAGTAAATTTTTGACTCAGTTTGCTTAATGCAACAGATAAGTATTTCACAATTGCAACTGTCCCCTCTGCACTGGAAACTTGCTGGAATTTAAACCTACAGAGTTTTATCATGTATACTCTTGATAAAGATTTTTGAATGCTGATTACATTACTTTTTTTAAAAAAAATTGTTTTCTAAACAGAATCAGCAGAAAAGTCAGTGTCAGCATATAGAAAACTGCATTTTACCTTCCACATAAGAGTAGGTGATATTTGATGGAAATCTGAGGTGCTCCCTGTGACTCTGCTTTATGATCAGAAGTAGGGTGCTGATAGACAAAACCCTTCTTTGCATCATAAGTAATATCAGTTCCATCAGTTTCAACTTCTTCTGCTGGAAATTCCCTGTGTAGAGTTACTTTTGCTGAGGGGGTAGTAACACTGCATGGGATGACTGCAGGTTTATCTGAGTTCAGGTAGACAATCTCAAAATAGCTGGGAGCAGGTACAAAAAGTTCCTCTTTGTGCAGAAGAGGCAATACAGAAAAATATTTACATTTTGGTTTCACTGAAAGAAAAGAAAGCACATATGACAAGAGAAAAGAGCTATGAGCAGCATTAAAGCACAAAGCTTTGGCTTAATTTTCAATATGCACACACAAAAGAAAAAATCATAGCTTGCATTAAAAACATTAAAATAAAAATAAACCAAGTATTCTTCACTGTATCTTCAGATTTTTTTTAATCTTAAGAAAATCTTTGGATTTCCTTTTAATAAGTTTCAAAATACCTATCTGGATCCCATCACCACTGGTAAGGGCTACTAGAAAAAGAGCTACAGACTTTTCATACATATCTTTTTCAGGCAAAATGTTTGATTTACTCTTAAAGTAGAAGAAATGTTTAGTGCTTTTAGAATGACAGTTCAAGAGTATTTCCATAATTGGCATGCTTCTTACGAATATAAAGCTGAAATTCCTGTTTCTAGCATGAGCATTTATGTAATAACTTGACTGAAAAGTTTATTCCAGCCTTTCTAAGGGAATGTATCCTAAAAACATTAAGCACTTCTGATAAATGGCTCCTGCACAGTCTCATGGTCTAATTTAGCTCCAAAATGTATCCCAAACAAACCTATCTAAACATTTTGTACTAGAACATTTGCTACTCAAGAATACTTTAGCTCTTGTCAGGCATCAAAGGTTGTTTTACCATTCAGAATGCTTTCCATGAGAAGAACAAATTAACCATTTGATTTCAGCTATGTTGTACCAAGTAGCAGTAAACTGTGCACAACCTCTGTGGGACAACACAAGTACTTAAGAGTGTTTTGTCTCTGCTATATAGACTCCTGTGGCAAACTGTGGCCTTAGCAAGGTCAGTGAGGTCAAGATTTTTAAGGCAGTGCAGGTAACTGGAAGAAAGTGGCAGCAGGGGAGAGTCCATGTGGTCATCTGAATGCACAGATTCACTTTCTTTATCGAGACACGCTTTCAAAAATCCAACATTTTTTTTGCAGAAGATCCTCAGAATGGGTGTCACTATTTTCAAAGGTATGTGCTTTTTATTGCATCATGAATTAATTACTTTGGGTACAGATTTTGCATATTTCACAGGGAAAATGGACAAAATGAAACACACCAAGCAAGCAATTTTCTGCTCACAAACACTGTTTCCCTTAAGATCCACTAAAAAAGATGAAAATTGTGAAAGTAAAACCTTGACAGTAAAACTGCCGATACAACTTTACTCCTATCTTACTTGCAAAGATATTTCTATTAATAATTCCCAAGTGAGTTAATTACCTGTGAAAAAAGAGGTATGTTGAACCTGTTTTAGTCTCATCGTTTTTGCACTTGTTACCACCACAAAGGTGAGTCCAGCAGCTGTATCCACCTGTGTCTGCTGCAGTGGAGTTTGCAAGGATCAGCTGACCATACCTGTCAAGCTGCTTTACACTGCAGAGAAATAAAAACAAAAGGCACAGACAAGCACAGATGTATTTACTTGTACATTTCTGTCAGCTCACTTCTACTTCGGGTTTTTATTCCCACTCTGTAACTGAGCTCTCAGAGATCTGTTGCAACTTCCTCTTCTGCTCCAGCAGAGACCTGCTTACACGAGCAGTTTTACTAATTTCAGCTACACAAGAAAGCATGCAAGCTTTAGCCTTGTACGGTGAACTTTCCGATTCCTTTCAGCCTCCATTTTTAAAATTGGGCTTTGACTGTCTGGACCTCAATAAGGCATTTGACACTGTCTCCCACAGCATACTTCTAGAAAAATTGGCTGCTTGTGGCTTGGATGGGTGGACTCTTTGATGGATAAAAAACTGGCTGCATAGCCAGGCCAAGAAGGTTGTGGTTAGTGGAGCTAAATCCAATTGGTGGCCAGTCACTAGAGGTGTTGCCCAGGGCTCAGAATTGGGGCCAGTCCTGTTTAACATCTTTATCAATGATCTGGATGTGGGGATTGAGTGCACCCTCAGTAAATTTGCAGACAATGCTAAGTTGGGTGGGAGTGTTGAACTGCCTGAGGGTAGGAAAGCTCTACAGAGAGCCATGTACCAACTTGATCCATGGCTTGAGGACAACTGCATGAGGTTCCATAAGGCAAAGTGCTGAGTCCTGTGCTTGGGATACAGCAACCCCATGCAGTGCTACAGGCTGGGGGAGGAGTGGCTCAAGACCTGTCAGAAAGGGACTTGGGAGTGCTAATAGCTGGGTCAGAATGAGTCAACACTGTGCACAGGTGGCCAGGAAGGCCAAGGCATCTTGGCCTGTATCAAGAATAGCTGTGGCCAGAAGAGCTAGGGAAGCAATCGCCCCCTGTACTTGGCATTGGTGAGGAGGCCACACCTTGACTACTGTGTCCAGTTTTAGGCCCCTCAATTAAAAAATGACATTGAGGTGCTGGAGTGAGTCCAGCAAAGGGCAACGAGGCTCATAAAAGGTCCAGAACACATCATATGAGAAACGGCTGATGGAATTGGGTTTGTTTAGCCTTGAGAAGAGGCAGCTCAGGGGTGACCTCATTGCCCTCTACAACTACCTGAAAGGGGTTGTAGAGGTGGGGAACTTGCCATGCCTGCAATAACAGGACTAGAGGGAATGGCCATAAGATGAGACAGGGAAGATTCAGATTAGGATGTCAGGAAAAGTTTTTTCACTGTTAGGATGTTCAGGCAGTGGAAATAGGTTGCCCAGGAAGGTGGTGGAGTCACTATCCCTGGAAGTGTTTTAAGAGGTATCTGGATCTGCTGCTGGACAATATGGTTTAGGGTTTAGGGTGCAGCAGTTTAATGGTTGGACTTGATCTTAGAGGTCTCCTCCAACCTCGATGATTCCAGCAATATGTTCATCTATGTTAACTCAGTTTGGGCATGTATACCCTTTTTGTCATGCTACAAGTCAACCTACATGTGTCTCAGTCCTCTTTTAATACCATTAACTGCAGCGCTGCTTCAATAGTATGTATCAAAGATAACTCACAAGTAGGTAAGTAGAAGGCACTTTAATCAGACTTGGTTTACTGATTTATGGCTGCTTTCAGTGTGAATGGTTTATCAACCTTTGACCTACTCATCCAAGTTTTCATCTGCAAATGCCATCATTAAGAGCTTCTGTCTCAGCTTGGATTTGTTCTGCAAGTAAGTAATTTTGCATCACCTGCTCCTCTGCCCTAAGCTACCTCACTGGTATCCTCTCACTGGAGTTTCCTCATCACCCCTCAACTATTTCAGAGCATGACCCTGTGAACTGTTGGAAGTGTATTGGCAGTGCCATCATGTAACTACACAAAATTCAGCCTGTGTTATTATTTCAGACTTCATTTGCTTTTTCCTCCTTCTCCTAAATCTCCAAGGTACATCTCTCAGTGGATTGGTATTTGTAAATGTGCAACTGTTCGTAAATATGTAGACACATACATAGATACTAACAGTGTTTCTAAGGATCCAAAGTCCTATCAATGAACTACAGCAGCTACAGTCTCATCTTGTTCTTTTTTTCTATTTTAAGGTTTGCCTTCCTGGCTCCTTCTTGCAGACAGATGGTGGGAAGAGCTGGAAGTCTACTGTGTTGACTTCTGATGTATTGCAAAAGCAATGGTTCAACAGTACCAGCTCTCAGGGAACCCTGGCAGGACAGCTGGCAGTACTGGTGCACTCCCTGCTGCTCTGACCCTTGAAAATGTTCTTTTCTACCTTTCATGATAGTACTTCTGGAACACAAAGGTTTCCCTCTTTCCTTTGCAAGGCACCAAGTTACACAGTCATTTATTTTCTAAACAAGTCACTAGTGATTTTTCCAGTTTTAGGCATTTGGTAATGAACTACTTATTACTGTTTTGAACAGGATTTGGACATAGATGCATGAACTCTGAACAGCTCTCTGTGGGTTCTCTGAATATTTATTATCCTCCTATTTCTTATTATTAATGTGGCAGTTATACTGTAAAGCAGATATGCAACTAAATTATTTCTGAGACTAGCATGCTTTGAAGAAATTCTTATTCTCTAAAACACCTCATCACTGAGTAACAGCAGTACTACAGACGTGTCTGACTGTACTGCATGCTCTAAATGCTCTGTTTTTCTTAACTCTCTATTGCAGGCAGAATAACTGCTTAAACAGAGAGGCCACCAGTTCCAGCTACATGTGCTTCCTGAAATTTCTGATTCCCCAGATGTTCTGCTAGCAGTTTGCACAACTAACAGCAATCATAAGCAATGATTCACATAACCCAACATTCAGCCTCCAGTCAGGTCAGTAGCTTAGAAATTAAAAACACACCAAATACACACCCCAAACAGAACTACATGAGAATTATCGTTCCCATTAAAGCCCTCAGACACCATTAGTACATGGATGCACCACAGGGCAGTTTTGAGGCCTGCCTAAAGAAAGAGACAAATCATGTTTTCTACCCACTAATGCACTCATTCTACACGACCTTGTTTGATTAAACTTTTAGGAATCAGGTAATTATGGTCAGCAGCATTTTCATTTTTATTACATACACTACTTTACATTATAAATTATCTTCTGGTTTTGGATAAGCTTTGAGAATTGCTATTTGTGCAAGAGATCCTGCTGTGTATCATATCCAACAGGAATCAAAGAGAAATACCAAACATGTCCTAGTCTGTATTATTATTTAACTTCACAGTTCACATTGACATAAAATGTAGTGCAAGTATTGAGCACTAAATGTCAACATTACAGAGAAATCATTATGCCAGAACATTGTTGCCTCCAATCATTAATGCAGACACTGAACTATAGCTTGAAATCCCAACAGACAGAAAAATAAGGTCAGAGTTAATTAATTACTGTACAGTGTGTTCTACTTAACTGAGAACAAGCTATCCAGTAAAAAAATGGGACAAGTCTAGCAAGGTATTCATCCACAAACATGCACTAACAAAACCTGGCAACTGACAGTGGAAGTGTTGAAACTTGTGATACAACCATATTAAGCAGACAAAACAGGCCATGTAGAGGAAATTATAAATGGTACCTACCATGCAGCTAAACAGTATTCAGGATAACTTTTATTTCAATCTTATTTTAGATGCTGGGAAATCTGACTCAAAAGCCAAAACTTTGCTATGCTGTAGATGTCACAAAGTAAAAATGTTGTATATACAAACATTCCAAGACTGTTTAAAGAAACTAGAAAATTAGTATAAAATCTTATTCCATACATTCGTCTTATTAAGCTTTAGTTATCTGAAGTTCACATGATCTTTGCCAGGAAACTATACCATGTTTAGAAGCTTAAAAAAAAAAAAAAAGACAGTGTACATAGCATCACTCAAAGAGGATCTAGCTAACTCCGCTCAAGCAGCTGCATTCATACTGACAAAAGAGGGCTTATCTCAAACACATTGGCACTAGGAGAGGAACATAATATCTTACTGTTTTACACAAGAAAAAAGCCCCTCGCTTTCAGACTTCAAAGCACAAGAAACAAAATGAAATTCTGTTATACACATGAGCACAGCATCCCACTAAGTCAGCAGGAGCCTGCATTCACTGCAAGCAGTCTGATCCTGCCCTCCACAATATCCAGTTTGCTCAGTGTTTGTGAGAGTGCTCCTGTTCAGACACTCTCCACAGCACACACAAAGGTACATGTGATGCATCTCCAGTTCATTGCCCCAACTTCTTCCATTGCTGCAGTTCCATTTCACGTGAGTTTACTTACCAAGTGAAGTTCTCTGATAAACAGAGCTGGTCTTTGGCAAGCAAGAGACTCATGCTCCAAGTCAGGCAGAGCAAAGCCTATGTGAAATTAGACTGCCTTCATCTAGAGCAGCTTTTTTTCTGTAAAGGATAAAAAAGGGAAAATGCACTTGCCCTTATTTTTGCTTTCACCACTCTCATATATTGTAAATCCAGTTTCTGGGTGAGTCCACAGTCATTAATTTGTTATGCACGGTCTTACAAAACAGCATTCCAGCCCTTCTCTTCTGGAGGTGTACAAGCAACTTTTGATTGTGAACACCACCAAGATTTTTTTGGCCAGTTCAGCCAGTACACAGAATTTTCAGACAAAAAGTTATCTTCAGGGTGTATTTATGCTGCACAAAGTGAGAGAGCATTACAGATAATAGGCTAGTTCTAAAGCAAGCTCGTGTGTACCCTTAACTCAGGGGCCATGTTTGCATGATTCTAGCCTTCTCCACAGAATTACACTGAATGTTACAGTTTCTAAAGCTAAGTAGATCATTTCAGTGTGTACTGTTAGGTGTACTTCAGTTAGAATAGTGGAAAGGCAGAATTTCTTCTCCATCTCAACAAGAAACAACCAAAGAGTCCTCTTCCTCCTTTCCCTTGGCATCTTTCCCTCCCCCTAATATGATAATTTTAGCATATGTTAACAGTTCCAGACCTATTAAAAACTGAGATTCTCTAGTACAGCAAGCAAAAGTATTTTATTTACCAGGTTGTAAAGTACAGCTACAAAGACAAATTCAAAGTAAGTAGAGCCACTAATACTGCAGAAATTGCTTTTCAAATTACAACCCTTCTTTTTAAAAATGGCATCTGGTCCTCCAGTTTGCTGTATTCTCCTTACCATGTGGGTGAGTTAAAAATGTGGTAAGCATGGCATGGAGACAAAACATCTGGCTTTTATCCCTATTTCTCTTTGCAACCACCCATAGGAAATACATTCCATTGATGCTAAATTTGACTAGTTGTCAACCAAAACACCAGACCATTTGAATTTGTATATCCCCCCTATTATTTAAAGAAAAAGTAGGAATTGGATGCCTGAATATCTGTTGCTGTCAGGACGTACAAATGAACAAATAATTGGAGTCATTGGTCGCCAGCAATCACACAGATGTCATTACTATTGTCCCTCCTCTTCCTCACTTTTTCTCCAGTGTACCAACCTGCTCCTTCTTCATTTTTCATTACCTCCTCAGACCCCAACCAATTCCTCCTGCTCCTGCCATCAATTCTGGTTTGCACCAGTGCTCTGACTCCAGCAAGATGTGGACAAAATTCCAAGGCAAAAAAGAGCCCAGCCCAGTTAATTAGCTTTGGTTTTGCCCCACACCTCAGAAACTGGTAATGAAAGGACTATTTTATATTTGATCTTTTAGTACTCAAAAAATGTTAGATGATACTGGACATGAATCTATCTAGATGACTAGACAATTTTTGCTGTAGGTTATTTGCAAATAATTTTTCTGATTTCCCACCCTTTGTCCTATATTCATAATTTTGTTTTAAAATAATGGATGTAATATATGTGCAAAATTTTAAAATCTGCCTATTGCTGTTGGTGCTTGGTGCATACATTTGCCACAAGGAAGATCTAAGGTCCTGTTGAAAGATGATGGCATTGTTAACCTTTTTGGCTGCCAGTTCACTTGCAAGCACTGCCAGCTGAGCTAAGTAAATAACATGGAATCTTCATGTATTTCCAATGAAACTCCATCAAAACTTTCTAAAACCACAGAACATAAATTTCAATTATCATATTCTATAAAACAAACTTTGTTTCATATGCATCTATAAGCACTAAAGCAAAGACCTTGAGATAATTACTAAAGTTATGCTAAAAATGTGACGAAAATATAACTGCACAGGATTCTGTGGTCAATGTCTCCACAAATTATTACTATTCTGGAACTCTGAAGTCTGCTACTAATCTATGTTTTCTATTTCTCTAGTTAACTTTAGGATCTTCTGCTTACACCCAAGATTGTTGACTCAGTCTAATGAAGCGTTTCCACTTCAACAACTTATTTCAAAATAATTTTTAAAGCAATGATCGTCATATTTCAATACAGATCCTTAAATATATGCCTTGCATACTATGCCTTATATAATTCTTAAAGAAAATAAATATTTAGGCAAGTTATATCCACCCAGCCAAAATGTTTGATAGCATTTATTTTGTGTGACTTTATTAACTTTTGTTGTATGGTTCAAATACTACAAATACTCTGAACTTGAGTGAGAACAGAAAGGTAAATTGCTGAGGGAACAGGATCCCAAACTACTTCAAACTGAAAACCAGGAAACTACACCTTTTTTGTCCTTAATCTATCTTAAATTCTTGTATTTTGCCCAATGCTCATTAATGGAAAGCACCTAATTTTGCAAGAGAGGAATAGGCAGTCAAATAAATAATGAAGAAGCATTCAGACTCCTCCCCAAAAACTCTGAATACATGCCCTGCCTTCTTCAATGCCAGGTTCTGATACTCAGATAACATGACCTGCAGGTCTACAGGATCAAATCATGCCACCAACCTCTTTGAGAGTACACAAAGCTAAGATGCAGTTGAGAACAACAACCACCATGTACACACATGCTCCCTGCTGATCTGCACATCCACCTCTGGCTTACTAGGAAGCCAAGTCTGTACTGTGGCTGATAAATGCCACCTACTGAAATAAATCTGGATAAACCAGTACTTCTTGCAAAAGAATAAGCAGTAGTAGTTTGAATCAACCACAAGATCTTTTGAGAGATGTTGCTACAATAAGGCCACAGCAGGAACCGCTGTAACTTACTGTGCCAGAAGCCTTGCACTCAGACAGAACAGCTCTTGAACTCCTCAGCCAGCAAGGGACAAGCAAATAAATGCACAGAGAACTGGCTCATGAATTTCAGAAGGATATGCTAGAGATCACAGCATGTAACTGCTGTTCTTCAACAATCCTCTTTGAAAAGAGAAGTGAAAAGGAGAAGAATGTATCTGAAAAATCACTGGGAGTGATTTCAAGACAGCATCACACCTGCAAATAAGTGAAAGGGATCACTGAGATTCAGAGAATCTCATTTCTTTACAGGAAGCATAAACACTTGTAATTAATTTAGGAACAACAAAATTAGAGCAGCTGCTACCTTTGTTCAGACCTCTGTGTCCCTCTCACCTAATAATCCAATAAAATCTTCCTACAGCTCTTTCTTAGGGTATTGTTTCACAGTGCTTCACTGAATCCTCACACAAATCTCCATAAAACAGCCAGTGAAAGCAACACTACTCATGGCAAAAAATGCCTGTGGAAGACATTCTTAAGCTCCTTATGTGCCCCTCCTCTTTCACATACAGAACTAAATTACTAGATTTACTCTGTATTTAGCTATGTGTACTATCCTCAAAGCCTGGGAGGGCAAACAAATGTATGGGGTTTTGGAAAAGATGTCTAGAGCAAGAGGACACTCAGCTGGTGGGGCAGAGAAAGGGAGAGAGTCCTCAGTTCCTCTTACTGCTCTAACAACTATTTATGTGGTTTTCATTAAGATGTCTCTAGATGAAAGAAAAATCCTTCCTAAACTCAAGGTGACCGTCCTCAGCATAAAACTCTGCCACACCACAAACCTTTAGCACACAAAGGTAACTTGGATTGAAAAAGTAAAGGCTGCTCTCACTTGCTCCTTTGCATGGAGGTTGGTGTACTTTTTTTTCTAGATCAGAGATGTGGGTTTGAGTCTCTTCAGGAAATTAATCTTAGTGTCTCAGGTGGTAGCAACTTGTACAGCCTACCACGAGCAAGTCTCTCTGTGGAGCAACAGAGTTGGCAGAGAGCACCTGACATACACAGTCACACATTTTGAGAGTTTTACTTTGGACGAACCCTGAAGTGGTTCCCTGTTAGTGGCTGAAGCACAGTGCTGTCCTGCTGGACATCATTTTTATTTTAGATGCATCTGAAGGAAATACAGTTCACATGATGCAAGACTATTCCACAGTGTAAATCACAGGGCAGTAATTGGAGAGGACTAAAAGATGCTCATCCTTTTTTGTGGACATTAATAGCCATAAGATAGAACAATTGATTGTAAAAATGTGAACAAAAAAACAAAAATCCCAATGGTGTTGAAAGTGGCAGGGTGAAAAAAAAAGGTTCTGGATTATTTTTCCTCCAAAACTGAAAAATAGATTACCTGAGTCTGGAGTCCATAAAGGTGTCTAAATATGAAGGATAGTTCCAAGTAACATTACTCCCCTTACATTCAGTTCTATGCTTTGCCCTGCAGACAGGCTTAAAGTGGCAGCTAGTTTCTGGAAAGGACCTTTATCCATCACCTGTGTCAGTATGGACTGGGACTTCAGAGAGGAGTCAGCAGGTTCTCTCTCCTTTATTTTGAGAATTTGGGGGTTTACTTTTTTGTTAACGGGCTTAATTTTGTTTTTCCCAGATTCTTTTGGATGTTTACTCTTCACAGGCTGTCCAATAACTGGAAAAATAAAGAAGACAATGTTGCTGATTAGAATCAGGTTATATAGTCTTTTTTGCAAACAAAACCCAAACCTTCCTTCTTATCACAGAGAATAACTGGAGTTTTGTTTTTCCTATAAAAGATTCCTAAAACTTAGTAAGAGTTAATTTTCATAAGTTTTGGAAGTCTCTGCCATGATCCATTTTTCCTGGGGAAAAAGGAATCATAGAATCACAGAGTCATAGAATCATAGAATTTTAGGGGTTGGAATGGACGTTACAGGTCATCCAGTCATGCCATGGGCAGGGACACCTCCTCACTAGACCAGATTGCTCAAGGCCTCATCCAGCCTGTCCTATCATTGTAGTTCCTAATAAATATTCCCTCTCCAGCTCCCTTGTAGGCCCCTTCAGATATTGCTCCACACAGTCTTCTCTTCTCCAGGCTGAACAGCCCCAGCTTCCTCAGCCTGTCCTCACAGGGGAGAGGCTCCAGTCCTGTTACCAACTACGTGGCCTTCCCTTGGACTTGCTCCAACAGTTCCATGTCCTTCTTATGTTGCCTCCACACAGTACTCCAGGTGGGGTCTCATGAGAGCAGAGTAGAGGGGGAGAATCACCTCTTTTGACCTGCTGGCCACAATCCTTTTTATGTAGCCCAGGATACAATTTGCTTTCTGGGCTGCTAGTGCACACTGCAGCTCATGGTGAGTTTCTCATCCACTGTCACTCAAAAGTCTTTCCCCTCACTGCTGGTTTCAGTTACTTCCCCACCCAACCTGTAGCTGTGCCTGGGATTGCCATGGCCCAGATGTAGGACCTTGCACTTCATTTTGTTGAACTTCATGAGGTTTGCATTGTTCTACTTCTCATGGTCCCTCTGGATGTCCCATCCCTTCCCTCCAGCATGTTGACTCCCCACACAGCTTGGTGTCGTCAGCAAAAGAAGAGAGCTTTCAACAACATGTGAAAACTCTAAACATAGTTAAATAAACAACAAATATATAAGGTATGAAAACATTGCAAAGGAGAAATACAGCATTTTCATCTCCAGCCACTTTTGTCATTTCTACCCCATGGCATTGCCACTCAGTACACAATGCCACACAAGCTCTCCACCTTCATCTCACACATCCATCATTTCCACATAACCTTTCCATGCACCATGCTGCCATAAGAGACACATGAAGAAAAACTGGCAAGTGTGAAACTTCATGACAATTATAAAATGCTGACAGTGATGCAGTTTTCTTCTTTTAAGGTAAGTACTATGAAATGCAAATGACTCTTAACTCACTTGAAGTTAGTATTTAAGTCATCACTTCTCTGTATCAGCCATTTATTTTGACAGTCCAGACTAAAACAGTGAGTAATTTAGAGACAAATTCTAAGAGGTTTCATTACCTGCCAGAGACAATCAGGATGCCCAGCTGCCTTTACAAACAAATGGAAAGAAAAAGTGAGCTATCGCAATTTAAAGAAAAAAAAGAAACTCATATTACTCCCACTTTAACTGACATCAGGAAATCCAGCTCTTTTGTGACATGAGCCTAAAACTTTTGTCCCCAGACACCAGAAGCTCCACTAACTGTGCCTGACAGCTAATTCTCGTTTTCCACATGGAAATGCTTGGGTATTTTATTGTACTAATCAATCATCAAGCTCCCTCTGGAATTAGAAATAGCCCTGCTGTACACTGAGCTAGCATGAATTAAAACTGGTACTGGCTGTCAGTATGAGTGGCAGCACCTCCAGACTCCTGCCATTGATGGCTCCCATGACATTCCTCAAACACCAGCTGGGCACCTTGCCCTGCTTCAGCCTTCCACTCTAAGTCCAGGCCAATGTACAACACATCCCTTTTAAACAGCACAGAGACCTGTGAGCACGAATTTAAATCCCAGGACTTCTCCCCTGCTTTACATTAGAAAGGCTACAGTCAGACAGGCCAAAATTATTCGCACTGACACCACCTGGTGTCAGATACCAATCAAGGCACAGGGCAACCATCTCTGCTCCTTTGATACTAGTCTCCTAAGAATCTTTAGCTCAAGGGATCTGTGAACCACAGTTGTCATCATTCTATTGCCCTTGGATGTTTACCTTCATTTATCTGTCTGATCAACTTTAAAATTACACAAATTACACTTAGATATTAGATGCCTCCTAGTTTCTGTATTAAATGAATAAATATCCATTGCTTCTCCAACAACATTCTCTGTGGCACTCGTACTTTTACAAACTTGAGTGTTTCTGAAACACATGTTTTCTGGACTTCACATCTTTTATAACTTTATCCCTTTCTACTCTATTATTGTTCCTTATAAAAAATATGCATCTCACAGCAGGTCAGTTAGACCACATTTGGGTACTGAAAAGAACACAAAAGCAGTTTTTTTACACCAGGTTCAAGATATAGTCAAATCACAGTTGTACATATTAATAGTGTCTTCTTTCCTGTCTAAACCTCTCACTACTTTTTAAGATAGCAATATTAGGAGCTGACTTTCTCTAGAATAATCAAGTGTAACTCCAAGATCACTTTCCTAAGGAGGAATTATTGGTTAGAAATTCCTAAATAGAAACACATCAAAGTGTACATGAAGTTAGAATCATTTGTGTTATTTAGCATTTACCAACACAAAATTTCGAGTCCTATTTTCACCACTCAATCTTTTAAAACTGAGAGAGCTTCTGCAACTCTTTAGTGACAGCTTTCTTTTCTTTTAGCAGATACTTAAATATGCTGAAAAACATGTGCCTTACAAGATCCCTGTGAATTCAACTGGATAAAAATAATTCTACCCATGTTGCAAAACCTGAAGACAAACTCCTACTCTTTTATTTCCTATTAGTTATTGCCCTATGAGAGGTCTTCCCTTGTCTCACAGTACCTTGGTTCCCAAAGAGTCTTTTACAACAGGCTCATCAAAAGCCTTTGGAATCCACGTACACCAACCAGCCCATGCTTGGCCACACTCTTATAAAGTACACAGAGAACTTCAGAGATCTGCAAAACAGAACAAACTTATGAAGTTAAAAAAAAAAGGAAAAAAGGCATCCATACAAAGCCATACTGACCCTTCTGCAATTCATGCCTATTTATTCATGAGTTCAGGTTACAGAATACAATGACCTGGCTCTGTGCCTATACCTCCCACAAAAATCGTAAAATACCAGAATATTTCAATTTCCCTGGAAACATGTAGCTATATGATATGATACAGTGATATGCAGTGATACCACAGAATCAATTAGGTTGGAAAAGACCCCTGCGACCACTGAGTCCAACCTTTGACCAAACTCCACCATACCAGCTAGACCATGGCTCTAAGTGCCATGTCCAATCTTTACTTAAATACTTACAGGGATAATGACTCCACCACCTCCCTGGGCAGTCCATTCCAGTGTCTAATCCTTTCTGATGCCCTCCTGTCTACAACCTCCTTTCAGACAGTTGCAGAGAGTGATAAGGTCACCCCTGAGCCTCCTCTTCTCCAGTTAAAACACCCCCAGCTCCCTCAGCCTCTCCTCATAGGACTTACCCTCCAGACCCTTCACCAGCTTCACTGCCCTTCTCTGGACAATGATAAGCTATGATATAAGTTATGCACCCGAGTTAAGACTTTAGCAATTTCAGATTCAAATTTATTTTATGCCTCAGGTATATATCATGAAATCATGGCACTTCAACACTGTTTATGTTGCTGATATTCCCTAAAGATGAATCTTTTGGCATTACTAATGAGATGTATCCTCTAATGATTCTCCTCATAGAGAAAAACTCTGTCTATCTCAGAGCTTGTTAGGATACTGCACTCAAAGTTTCTGCTATGCTTATCATGTCACTGTTTTCCATGAAACCTCCCTAGGCACCTCTGCAGTGAATATGGGTGCACACAAATAATTTGGTCTTCAAATTTTACTTTCTTTAGATGCCCTTTCTTATCTCCCTAAAAATTCTGCAGTCATCTCTCCTTGCCCCACGCCAGTACGTCAGAAGAAGGACAGGATTTATGGCTGGTTTTATCCCTTTTCTAAGTTGTTGCTTAAACTTTTTATGTCTGCTTTATTCTGTTTTTTACATTTAACCCTCATATGAGTTAAGGAGCCCCCTCATCTTATTCAATCCCCCCTTCCAAAATTAAACACATCAGTCATTTCTTAGACTTTTATTATTCCTGCAAGAATATTAAAACTACAGTCTGGCTGTTTTACAGCAACATCTGAATCCAATAACCTGAGTACTGCTCCAGAACAAGTCAAGAATTGCTGCTTTTCTCAGGGGCTCTCCAAGTACTGGCTCTAAGTCATCATCATTTGTGGCACCTAAACAATTGCAGTCTGCATCACACCCCAAAGTGTGTGATCCAGCCAATGTGAGGGGAAGAAATTCTTCCTTTTGCCATCCTATCCAGTCCTTGCTGCTCCTCTGATTTTCCTAAGCAGAGCAGTCGTTACACATTGGGCTGTGAGTTACCAGGCTGGCTGTTCTCCACAGGGCTGGTATTTCAGTCCAGATGACTTACTGACAAAACTCACCAGGTATCAGATTTAACACGAAAGTTTTCTTCAACACATACTGCCACTTATCCCTTGGGTTGAGCTATTCCATCTTTCCTGTGTAATTTCTGCCCTAGTCCCACTGAGATGCCTGATAAACATTTTGGATTCCCATTTCAAACTAGCCATTCCAGCTTCTTGTTGAACATTCCAGATTTGGCTGTGGAAGCATGAAAGCTTTGGTCCAGCCACTTTTTTTTTATTCCCCTCCCATATCATTGCCATTTCCACTACTTTCTGCCAACCTCAATCCTGACATTATTTCAAAGGCACAGGGATCTTGCAACCTCACCCCAAGGAAATGCATCAGCTCACACTGTGTGCTCTGCCACACCTCACACAATGCCTTTAAGAAACTGTTAAAGACTCCCATTACCTGTAACAAATTAAGACACATAGTATTTTTTGTTGCTACCAGGTATTTTAAAATTATTTCCTCCTTTAAACAGTTAGAATATGACTAAGTATTATATTCTGAAAAGGTTATCAGGTCTTCATTTTAAGGTTATTGAATCTCAGAGACAACTCAGAAAAGATGTGTAGTATGAATTGCAAATGTGCATTGGAAATATGCAGAGCTCCTGCTACTGATGAAGATTTTTTCTGTCATCTGCAAAACGGTTAGTTTCAATTCTTATGTGCTTTCCTAGGTGGAATTCCCTTTTGCTTTCATACACTGGGTAGGTCAATGATCTAACAGTGTCTGAGATCCAAATCACGTATTTTGGAAAATGTGGTAATAGCACTTAGAATTAACACTCAGACTGCATTAATTATAAGAAATATTTAAACTGGCATATACCTTTTTCCTACATAGATATACACAATGAAGAAAGAAAGTGATTTTACAGATTTTAAGCACCCTAGTTTTAAATGGGTGTGCATGAAAAACTAGCCACATTTTCATTTATAACCACCAGAAGAACTAATGTAAACTTACATGCCATGACCCCAGTTCTCCACATGAGTAAGATGATAGCTTAAAATCACCTTTTCAAGTCAATGTTTTAAATGTGATACTTGCAGTATAACTCCTGTGCTCATTTACAACAGTGACCCTATTCCCAATGTTTCATGGGGCCAAGATTTTCAAGATCAGTCTTAGTAAATCTGTATGTACAATAAGGTGACTATTAATAATTTGAAGATTTTATAAGGAATTGTATGAAAGAGTTGCATATACCTCTGAAAAAATCAGTCATAGCTACTCGTAAGTTTGTGAACAAAGATGACTACCCAAATGTCTTTGAAAACAGTGCCAGGTGATAAGTTTGCCCTGGCAGTGGATTTCTTAGTGTCAAGGCTATCGTTATCCATTGCCCAGACACATGGTTTTATTCTCCTGATATACTCACAATACTATTCAAAGCTGAGGAAGATTTTGTTTTTGGGGTTGGTTGGGTTGGGTTTGGTTGGTTTTGCTTTTGGGGTTCTGTTTTTGTGGGTTTTTTTGTGGTTTGGTTTGGTTTTTCACAAAAATAAAAAGGACACAACAATGAGTTTATTCATCTGACTCAGAGATTAGATGCTGTTAGGACAAGGCTTGGTGCTTCACAGAGTTGAGCAGCATGAACACTGAGGGCTACTTGCCTCCCCTGGATATCAAACCTAACATCATCTCTGGTTTGGCACTGCAACACAAAATGCCCAAATCAAACAGTGTTTCTGATATTCTCTATTTCAGTGACTTCTCCAGTGCTTTGAAGCAAGTAGGAAACAAATGCTGCTATTATCTTCATCTCCAGACCATCTCCCTATTTAAATATAAAACATGGTTGTGTTTTTCTCCCTCTAAGATGTATCCAAGTTATCATGTTAATTATTTTAAATGTGCTGTGATTTATATAATATCATGATATCAGTATCCCAGATGTCAAATGATTATAAGTCACTATATTATTTTAGTGTTTACTAAAACCACAGTGATGGCTAAAGTTAGAGCTGTTGTATGTAGTACATGCAAGTGATATTCAGCTTTATTTAAAAAATATGGAACAAATGCACAATTGTTACCCTGCGAAACACATTTTACAGTAAACGAAGAGCAATGTAACTTCATCGGATATTGGAACTAAGGTAACTAAAAATGTCACTGATAACAATTCTATTGTAAAGTGGAAAAAAAAGCACCATATTCTTAAATATAAGCATTTTTACATTCATAAAAATTCAAGACTTTTCTTTTTGGTGGAGCACTTCAATGAAATACAAATTTGGAGTTTAGGTTTCATCATAATCTTCCATCTACATTTTAAATGCTCAGCAGCCTACATTACAGAAATAATCACTACAATGTACATATGAACAAAAAGAAAAGTTAAAATGGATACGAACACGAATGTGGTTTAAAATGAGGCACACATAACTATTTTTAAAGATATGTAACATATTCCATACTTTACTTTCTTGTAACACAAAAGAAAAAAGCCTTCCTAAGCATACAAATCCTCATATCCCAACTCCAACTAAACTGAGCAAAGCTGGAGTTTACCTGGCATGAGGTTCAATGAAAATATACAAAGACAACAGAATTTATCCAACTGACAATAAAAAAAATAAAATATATACATAGTTCTTTGTAATGCATGTTTGTGCACAGAAATCCATCAACTTAGCTGATGTTAAGGAGTTTGATTTCTAAAATCAAATGGAAAACAGATCAGGAGACAGTAAATACATTATACTTCGCTTTGGAAAGATCCAACTATTAAAAATGCAGAGGTCCTCAAAACATATACCAGAAAGAAATACTAAAGGTACAGGAAAAAACAAATAAAAAGATCCTACACTGTATGAAACATCACCCACTCTTTTTGTTAAATATGTATTTGCCTAACACTGAGTAATCTCAGTGCTTTCAGTGAACATACTGCAATTTGTACAAACTTCCTAGCAAGTCTAGGAACAGTTAAGGCCCAAGAGCATTAAAAGGTGCTTTTATTTTCTTCCTTATGCAATCAAGTGACACATGCCAGCCTTCTTGTGAATTAAATTCCCAGTATACAAAATGTGCCTCAATGTCAAAGGCCTCATACATGATTAAAACGATTGCACAATCTCACACAGATTTTGTGCATGGTCAGGGATTTCACCATCTCAGGATGCTTATGGCACATCTGATATTGGCACTTATTAAAACCTCCATGAAAAACAGTATGCCTTCCATTTCATAAACATATATATCTTTGTGTAAATTTTAGGATAAAGGTCACTAGACTTGTACATTTATCATCTCATAAAATACTGAACATATATTTAAGCTTTACTAAGTTTTTCCTCTACATTCATTGTATCATTTGAAGCTTCTGGCTGACAGTTAAATTCCTATGTAAGTACATAAGTAACCTTGTATCACTACTACTGACATTTTTTACTGATAGTTCTCCAGCAGGAGGTAATATAAATGGCTTTAACACATGGTGACATAAATATAATATGACATATTTCAGGAATCTAAGAAGGAATTTGTTGCAGAAGAAAGCATACTAACAGAATAGTTAATAGATAACAGACAATAAAATCTAAGATAAATTTACTATTGCAGAGTTAGGACTGGAATACCACAAGATCACTTCAGTTACCATGAATTATTCAGAAATGTTTTATAACTCTTGTCCCTCAGAATAAAAGGATTTTCTTGTTCTGCCTTAAGTATGTTTTAGCTTACTTTCTTAAATCCAACTAGGTAAGAATAATTCCTCTATCTAAAGGCATACCAGAATGTACCAATGCAAATAAACTTTATGGAGGCTTTTTTTTTTTTTTTTTACAAAGGAAGAAAAAAACCAATAAGCTGCCTCCAAAAATAGATATTTTGTATTAACATGTACCATCATTATTTGCACACAACAATTTACAGTATCAACAACTGTATTAAAAAGTAACAATTATTTAATTCCACTTGACCTGTGTTTTCAGCTGCTCTCTCAAGAAGTACAGACATATAGCAAATGAGACAACAAAATCAGGATTTGTTTCATCCATAACTCCTGTGTAAGGACTAGCATGGCATGTCCTTTGCTTCTGCACAGTCCTGCTAAAGTACCTGGAATTTCAAGACCTCATACATAAATGCATACCAAACAGCACAAATATCTTACTTCTGGCTTGTTTGTTTTTACTCAGCCACTGACTGAAAATAACTCTAACTATACACACATATAAATAAGCTTTGTGCAGCTGAAGCAATCAAGAGTACCCAATGACTGTCCTTTAATTTCATGTATGTATTATTAGTTACCTGGACAGTTCTTGTACTGCAGCTGTTCCCATCTCCCTTAGCAACATTTGTGCCTGCACAATCTTTTATTTTTATGTAATTAATTTCTCTAACAAGGGGGGAGAAATAATCATACAAATGAAAGGGGAAACTGTCAATATACAATGTGCTGATACATCCGTTAGGCAAATAAGATAGAAAATTTATTTCCTTAAGTTCTCTCCAGAGGCCTTAGCTAGCATTTGTTTTAGTCAGAAGTTTATTATATTGACAGTATTCCATCAAAGGAAAATTCCAGTGCAGTATAGAAATTATTTTAGCCGGTATGTCAAAATTGCCATGGGCTATTGTCAGATAGGTGCAAACACAGAGACAGGCATTCTATATGATGGCCTTGGCAGAGAATGGACTCTTCTTGCACCTCACAGAACAGCACAGTTTGTGTCTTGGGAGCCTGGCTGGCCTGCTCTGCAGCATCAGCAACCAGAGGAAAAAGTAAGTCTCTGCTTCCCACACACTGAGATGCGTAAGGAATTTTAAATGAACGGTGTTTTGCTGTAGGCTTGTAAAGACCACACAAAAGCTTTACCTGAGCACTGCTGACTTGCTCCCACAGCAATGGCTTTTTTTGCAGCTGAGGATTTAAGACTATTGGGAAAGACAGGTTAAGAATGTACAACCACTGAAGAAGCCACGCTCTTGACAGAGTTGTAAGTGATGAGGAAAAGCATCAGCTCCTCGATTTTAAACATTTGTGGGATTAAAACCATCAGAATATACTCAATTTACTCTTTTTTTTTGTTATTTATAAACAAAATATATGCTGTGACAATCTGTGAATTACTACACTGGATTCCTTTCAGAACCCTAGAAAATCTGAAATATTTGTATTGCAAACAAGAATGTATAGTTCTTTTGCCATTTCTGGCATAAAAATGGGCCCCAGTTGAGAAGGACAATTAAAACAGAAGACCCAACTGACATAGACAGCCCTTTTGTTCACTGAAGAGAAGTACTGAAAATAATCAACAGCTCTAAGAACTGCCCTGAGAATTCCTATCAACCAAATATTCACTCAGCATATCATCTTCTTGTATTAGCCTAATATGAGATTTGAGTCTTGTTTTAACAGCATCTGTAAAATGATGGTGAATTGTGGAAAGAAGTGGCTATAACATGATCAATTCTGGATGGGTTGGGGCATATGAAAAAGTATTGACACCTACCCTATAATTTCTCCTCATCTCCATGTCACATCCATTTTTACGGGCCACCAATCACTAGAACAACAGTCCTTAGGACAATAGCAGTTGCAGTTAAAGAATCATAGAATCAACTGGGGTGGAAAAGACCTCCAAGATCATCATGTCCAACCCTACCATGGTTACAAGACCATGGCACTAAGTGCCACATCCAGTCTCATTTTAAAATCCTGCAGGGACAGTGAATCCACCACCTCCCTGGGCAGCACATTCCAATGCCTGATTAAAGGATATAGATGCTGGAACCTCAGGTAAGAGGTAGCTGTTCCACCTATGGCATGCCTCTTACAAATTTTCAGATTGTTACTCCTAATTCTGAGCAGGAAGTAGAGCTGTGACAGCAAACATCTACCCACGCGCTGTGGCCAGCCCTGCAGGGCCTGCTCCTCCCAGTCCAATCTGAGAAGAAAGGCATCAGGCTGATAACCTCAGACCTGCTCCAAAGTGGGGTACCAACCCATTGCAG